CTCTACTACACGTCCCTGAAAAAGTTGGAACACAATATAAGCTTCGAGAATCATGGGCAACATTAGATACTATATCATAGAGATAATTTCAGCAAAGACATTTGTTTCCATTCATGATGCATTCTTGGGCTTAAATGCTAAACGGAATTGAGGAAACTCCCAAGCATTGGGAAGAATATAGTAACATAAACATGTCACTTTGAAAGTGTATGTTCCACAACGATAAGCAGCTTCTCAGAAGCAGAACTCTTGCACAATGCTAGTGTTACAGGCTACTAAAAGAATAGAGAATGAATCTTGCAATTTTTAGGCAGTCTATGGAGTAGTAACTATAGCAGTATATCTAAAACAAATTGTGGTATTAACAGTGCAACTTTTTTAATATTACCAACCTTTGGAAGTCCTCCAACTCCTAAAGCAATATCTAACGAAAAAGAACCTGTTGATACCACAGGAACCTGCTTGTGGCAGACAGAACGGCCAAGCCACATTATGGATCCCTTCCCAAATGACTTAGTGATTTGATCCAGAGCTTGTCTCAGAGCCAAGTCTTTCTTGGACAAATTCTCTTCCCCTGACACACTCTCTTCTGAACTTGATTTCTTTCTACCTAAACTTAAACAAGTTAAGAAAAACTTGGCTTATTCATGAGCAATTACATCTAAACATAAACAGAGTAACAGACACATTATTAAAACTTCAATAGAACACAAACAATGCCATCAAAACATGCAGCTTCTTTAATCCTATGTCAGATTGACTTAATCACTTAAACCCATACATATGCAACTATGTGTTGCAATATTAGGAAGTTCATGCAGGAAGTGATTTCAAGTATACCATCTCCATGTGCTCCTAATTGAATGTATATGAGTTGCAGTGCAAAACCTATTACCCTAATATATAAGTATTTTATTCAGTTGGGCAGTCGTCTATTAACTTATAACTAGAATCCATATAGTAGTAAAGGTGGCTACAAAAATCAGGATTGTGAAACACAAGCAGGAGAGAGTGCGAAAAGAAAACAAGTTACGCACTTTTAGAAGCGAAGTTACATCTCTGAGTAGAGGCCCCAACTAGGCTATTCCTGAAGCCCTGCGGAAAAAGAGTCAAATATCCTTACTCAACAGCTGAGAAGGTGTTATACTCTAGAGAAGAGTCAAGCACTCAAAAGCACAGTGATATGAAAGCTGCAAACTGATTCCTTCTCCCTTTCCCGAAACCCATTAAAACGTATTGTTTTAGTACTCAATGTTGCAACAGAAGAGAGCTAACATTTTATGAAGATGAAGAATGGTTCAAGTTCAATACTTTTACACCTTGTAACTACAAAGGAGAGAATACTTCCTAAAAACGTTCATTTCTTTAGTTCTTCTTGCAAGTATCGCCTCACCTGACCTATAACTTGAAAAATTCTACCCAGTAGCCATAAAACTGATACAAAGCGCAATGCTTAGCCTTAGACATACAGATGAAAATGAAAATATAGCAAACCAACTTCAGAAAAAGATAAGTTGGATAGAACTCACTAGTGGCTTTAAAATAAGAGAGCGCCTGAAAGATGAAAGGTTCCGAAGAAGACTGGCCATTGACAGCAATTAAAAAAAGTTTTTTCCACAGTTTCACACTTCAGCAAAGCACGCGCAAGCGCATATAGAAACTGAAAATTCCTTAGGATTTGGAGTTCAGTATTTCAGTGAAATGGAGAACAACACACAGATAAATTCCTTCTGCGGGAAGGAGGGGATTTCTGAGTGTATAAGCCAGGGAGAAGGAAGGGCAGATCTATTGGGTGGTATGAGAATGGAAGGGGTAGGGCGGGAGAAGTCTGGGACTTTGGGGAGAAGGAAGGAGAAAATGAGGAATAAGGTGTTTTTTCAATTTCGGTCTCCTTATTTCGGGACTATGTCAATACAATCACATTTTGTTTGATATGGCGTGAAAAATTTACCAAAAAAACATATATAACCATCGGAGAAGGATGGTGTTCTTAAATTATTAAAAATTGGTCCAAATTCCAAAATGGAACGAGAGACATGGCGGAGTGTACACAATGTCTTAAAACATAAACATGACATGAGAGATAGTTAATTAAAATAAATAAATAGTGTTCCCAAGCTAAAAAGAGATTGATGCGTCCTACTCATACATTGGAAGCCCTACAAAATTTGAGAAAATTGTGAGGAATTTAAGCTGACTGGAATTTTGAGGCCCCGTGGGAATATGAATGAAGCTTCCCTTGATTTTAGCAATTTTCACACAGGAGCCCGAGTTATTAGGTTCTAAAGAAACCTCAATATCTTTGAATCGTTTTTTCTGCGAAAAAATTGCTTGATCCTCATTAGTGAGATGGATGATGTGACTGATGACTTGAGGGGCAAGGTCCTCGTTGATGTAAACCTTGTGCAGCATAGAATTTTTAATTTCAAACAGGACCAGGTCACTATTTCTGACTGCAAAATTAAAGATTTTGGATTCAATTTTTACTGAATCAAATCCTTCCTCTCAAAAGAAAAAATAATTTTCACTGTCATCGGGTAAAAGTTCGGCCTCAGCCCAATTTGTGTCTATCCTTGCCAAAGATAAATTTCCTGCTTTAGGGCTGAGATGCTTTCCAATAGTGGAGGGACCGGACTAGTCCAGGTCAGGGTAAATCCATCGTACAGTCGGCTATGCCGTGCGCACGATACAACCGTTTTTTTTATAAATAATCTGCGCTGCAACTCATCTTCGAGGACGACGAAGGACATCGAAGAAGACGAACATCGACTGTCCAGGTCTCCAACTCGTGAAGCAGACCAAGCCACCACATACTCCGATCGATTGGCGCAGATACACATACTCCGATCGATTGGCTTCACTTTTGACTTGAGATTCAGATTCTTCCACCCCTGTTTCTGTTTCTGCGCTGGCTTATAGAAAGAAGAAGGGACAGGAGTTCAAAGCTTTTGTGGATCTGTCATATTGTATTGAAATGAGTTTAATATTAAACTCAAATGAGTATAATGTCTAAAAAGAATGAATATACACAATGAATATTGAACACATAAGAAATGAGTTTTTATGTTAAACTAAAATGAGTGTCGCGCCCAAAATGAATGAGCATACATAAATGAGCTATTAAATTTTTTGATACTCATTTTGTAAGTTATGTATGCTCATTTAGAATCACTCTATGCTCATTTTAAAAGGTTGCACAAATGAGCTTTAAGAAATGAGTTTTATGTTAAACTCAAATGAGTATAACGTCCAAAATAAATGAGTATACAAAAATGAGCTTTCGAATTTTTTATACTCATTTTGTAAGTCGTGTATGCCCATTTGGTACTGCTTTATGCTCATTTTAAAATGTTTCACATTTCAAACGCATCATACTACATAAGATTCACATATTGAAATTAATTGAAATTTATTATTATAAACCTAATTTAAGAATTTGTCATAAATGAAAAAAGAAAAAAAATGAATTAGAAGATATGAATCAGAAATCACTGGTGCTCATTGTTAGACTCTAAATACTCAAAAGAACAGACTCGATGCTCATCACAATCGCATAATTAATGAAAATCACTGGTGCTTATAATTTCAAGTTGATGCTCAATAAAAATGTCTTGATGTTCAATTAAAAGTACTTATGATTTTCATATCAATTCTCATTTTATAAGTTATGTTTGCTCGACGGGTATTGATGTTATGCTCATTTGTAAAATGACATAACAATTCATATTTCAAAAGTATCACATTGCATTAAATTCGCATAATGAAGTTCATAAGAGTTGATTATAGATACAATTTAATGAGTTTTTATAAATAAAAAAATAAGGAAAAGAAAGTAAATTCGAAGAGATGAAACAAAGATCACGATGCTCATTGTTATGCTTCTAATGCTCAACAGAATATCGAAATTACTTCAAATAAGACTAAAACTATGACAAAAATTCAAAATAGGACTTGATATGTTTTTATTCCAAAATAGGACCATAGTGGTCATATTGGAAACATACTCATTTCTTCCTTCCATTCTTACCCCTTCTTTAAATATTAGTAAAAGATAACTAAAAGACATAATTAAATATTTAATTCATAATAAATCCGAAAAAATTTCAATAATTCGTAGAAAAATAATAAAAAAATTAATAAAATTCTTATTAAATAAAAAATAAGAAAGATTTTTTTTAATGTTTTTTGAAAATTAATAAAAAATAGTAAAACTCCATAAAAAATTTTAAAAAATATGGATACCTTTCCCACCGCCTGTACTACCTCCCTGAAACCACCACCTCTGATCGGTGTAAAAAATGCCACTTTTTGTTAAATTCCACAAAAATGGCATATTTCACTATGAGAATGCCAACATTTTCATTCTGCCAACTTGAATCCTTTTAACTTTTGCCAAAAATATGACATTCATAATTTTTTTAGCATTTTTTTTTACCCCGGTGACAGGAGGTGGTGGTACCGCCTCGCTGCACCACCATCTCCGACCGTTAAAAAAATGCCATATTTCCTACAAACTTCCATTTTTTCGGAAAATGTCAAAAACATGGCATATTTCTCTTTGACAATGCCAACATTTTTTTCTGCCATCTTAAATCATTCTAAATTATGCCAAAAATATAGAATTCATAATAAATTTGGCATTTTTTCCCCAAATGACTAGAGGCGGTGGTGTAGCAGAGGCTGCGGTGACAAAAAAAATTTGTTTTTTTTTAATTTTTTATTTTTTTAAAAAAATGTAATTTATTATTATTCAAAATATTTTTATTAATTTTTTGGTATATTTTATGAATTTTTATTATTTTTTATTATTTTATTATGAATTAAAACATTTCAATAGGTATAAGGGTATATTTGTCCAATACACACATAATTAGTCTTATGGAAACATAGTTTTTTTTTGTCCTATTTGTACGAAGTGAATGACTTTTAGTCAATTAACTCAACAGAATATGTATCATGCTCATTACACGTGTTGTCATGCACATTTAGTACAAGACCTAATTTAATGTAAATTACAAAAATGTGAACAGTACCGTTCTCTCCATACGGCCGGCTATAGGCTTCCCAGGTCAGTGCTGAGAAGGGCAGTTCCCTGTTCAGACGACGATTACACCGATTTCTTTTTGCTTCTCCCCTATGCTTGTGAAGATTGTAATTTTGCTTGTCGGTAGGATTAACAGATTCAAATTTCTGAGTGTGAGGTGTCTGTTCCGGCTATGGGTAAGATTACCATCCTATAAATAGTCGTCTTTAGCATTTGGGTTTCCATTCCTTAGAATCGCTGGACTGAATACTTCTTTTGATAAGGTGATAAAGTTCCGGCTATGAAGTGAAGATCAAAAGTTTCATTTCGTTCAACTATCGAAAGTTCGAAACATCAAAAAATGCTGCTTGTAAGAATGCACGAGTTCAATGAAGCGCTCCAGGTTATTGGAAGGCTAAATTCTGGGTTTATCAGACCAAGCAGGTGGTTTCATGCTTCTTGTTCAGGAACAGGTGAAATTGAGCACATTGTCAAAGTAATTAATGAACATTGTTTTCCCGATCAGCCATTGCAGCCCACTCTTGAAAGATATATCAATCCCGCATCTTTGTCTCCATCCTTTGTGAATAATGTTCTTGGCCGCTTATTTGCAGCACATGCCAATGGGCTTAAAGCTTGTGAATTTTTCAAATTTTGTCTTTTTCATCCTGATAAAAGCTCAACACCAGATGCGTTTGAGAAGACGATTCATATACTGACCAGAATGCGCTACTTTGATAAAGCGTGGGAACTGATGGCAGAAATCAAGGAGACACATCCGTCACTCCTTACTCTTAAGTCTATGAATATTATGTTGTCAAGAATAGCAAAATCACAATCCTATGAGGACACTCTTGAAGCTTTCGAGAAGTTGGAGAGAGATATTTTTGTTGGGAAAAAGTTCGGCACAGAAGAGTTCAATGCACTCCTACACGCATTTTGCACTCAAAGGCAAATGAAAGAAGCTAAATCTGTGTTCAATAAGCTTCATTCCCGGTTTGCTCCAAACACTAAAACAATGAACATTCTGCTTTTAGGGTTCAAGGAGGCAGGAAATGTAACATCAGTGGAGCTGTTTTACCATGAGATGATCCGAAGAGGCTTCAAGCCTAACTATGTGACTTACAACATCAGAATTGATGCTTACTGCAAGAAAGGCCGTCTGGGTGATGCCCTGAGACTGCTGAAAGAGATGGAAAGTGTTAATCACTGCTTGCCAACATTACAAACAATGACAACTTTGATATATGGGGCAGGGATTGCTCGGAACATAAGCAAAGCAAGGGAACTGTTTCATGAAATTCCCAAGAGAAACTTAACAATAGATGTTTGTGCTTATAACGCTCTCTTGAGTTCACTTCTCAGGTCTCGGGATATCAAAGCTGCAGTTGAGTTAATGGAGGAAATGGACGAGAAGAAGATCTGTCATGACCATTTAACCTATCACACTATGTTCTGGGGATTGATAAGGTTAAAAGATGTTCACGGTGTATATGGACTGTATAACAAGATGACTGAACAGGGGTTCTTGCCAAAGACGCGGAGCGTTGTTATGTTGATAAAGTTTTTCTGCGAGAATCAGAATATTGATTTGGGACTAAGTTTTTGGAACTACTTGTTAGTGAAAGGGCAGTGTCCACATAGTCATGCACTGGACCTTCTGGTTACTGCATTATGTTCCCATGGAAGAGTTGAAGAGGCTTTGGAGTGTTCTAAGCAAATGATGGATAGAGGTAGACATATAAGTGGATTGGTGTTCCAGATGTTGAAGAGAATTTTGTTGGAGTCGGGTGAAGAAGCGAAACTGCACCAGCTGGAGGAAATGATGAAGAAGCTGGAAATTTTATTACCACCTTCAAATGTACAATACAAGACTCATGTTCCTTGCTGCTAGGAAATTTTAACTTGTTTATTATTTTGTGATATTTTTTTTAATTTTATCTGTAACTTTTTCCTTTATAATATAGGGCCTTTCAGCTCTTAAAACGAGTAACAATACAAGACCATCAAATTCACATTTTCAGTTCAGACACTTTTATTTGGTTGTGTTATTTGACTTAGATTTCAAATCACTCTGCACATACCTGGTACCTGTACCTCTCTTATTTTCAGTTGAGTTATTGGTTGTAAGGCCGTCCAAAAGGGGTCACACCAAAGTGTAGCTTGAAGCCTCTTGTCCCTAGATTATCTGAACTCCTTGGCATTGAGGTTTGTTTTTTAGTCTCACTGCCTTCCATATTTCCCCTCCACATTTCTTTCTCCCCCCCCCCTAAAAAGACACATTTTTTATGGCTTATTAATAGGTCAAGATGGCAAATGACTGTATTGGTGAGGAAGTCGAGAAATTGGTTGCTGAAACTCCCGAGGGTGGTGTGTTGCTTTTGGAGAATGTGAGGTTCTACAAAGAGGAAGAGAAGAATGATCCCGAGTTTGCAAAGAAGCTTGCTGCCCTTGCGGATGTGTATGTTAATGATGCATTTGGAACTGCCCACAGAGCTCATGCATCCACAGAAGGAGTGGCCAAGTACTTGAAACCAGCTGTAGCTGGATTCCTTATGCAGAAGGTATAAGCATTTCAATGGGGGCGGGGGTGGTGGTATTTTGGGGAATTGATATCGGAACATATTACTACAATTGCCACTTTTAAGTGTTCCCCATAGGGTGCTTACTAGATTTGTGGCTAAAATAAAAGCATATTGTAAATCTTACCTCTTCAAAATCCTTTTGGGCTGATTTAAAACTGATACAATATGGTAAGTTTGACTCATATACCATTCCTCGAGTTGCAAAGCCTGGTTTGTATGGAAGTATCCGATTTCAAGTGAGCTAGACCTAATTTAATAACTACAACCTTGCAGATATTGTCATATGTTATATTCTGAGCCACTGAAAATATTTCCTTTCATTCCTTCTGTTGCCTCCCCTCAGGAGCTTGACTATTTAGTTGGAGCTGTGAGTAGCCCAAAGAAGCCATTTGCTGCCATTGTTGGAGGTTCAAAAGTATCCACCAAAATTGCTGTGATTGAGTCCCTGCTGGAAAAGGTTGACTTGCTATTGCTGGGTGGAGGGATGATTTTTACTTTCTACAAGGCTCAAGGATACAAAGTTGGATCCTCGCTCCTGGAGGAAGACAAGCTTGAGCTAGCCAAATCCCTCATCGAGAAGGTCAAGTCTAAAGGAGTCTCATTACTGCTTCCTACTGATGTTGTGGTTGCAGACAAGTTTTCTGCCGATGCTAACAGCAAGGTTTCACTCACTTGTCCCTTTATTCTACATTTCTACACCCCATTTGTGTTTGAAAATTTCTATGGAAATAATCTGGAAGAAAATTAAAAGTGGAAAGAAAAACTATGGAAAATAGTTTTGATTTTTGGGGGGTTCAAACTCAGTTAGGCACTTGATTTAGATATTTTGCAAACTCAGTATACGGAGATGTTATTTTATACCTGTTGTGTACTTGTATAAAGACCAAGCAATGTAAATACATGTGAGGTTTTTGAAGAGTTTTAATCAAATTCCAAGGTAAAAAATCGAACATGGCCTAATACATATTCATTTAAAGAAGTTTGAGGTGTAAATAAACGGGTTATTAAGTAATTAGTAAATGTGATAATGATAAGGGTTGGAATTAATATCAGGTGGTTAGCTCAACTGAAATTCCAGAGGGGTGGAAGGGGTTAGATGTGGGTGGGACCAGAAACAATCAAGACATTTGGTGAAGCTTTGAATACCACCCAAACAATCATTTGGAATGGGCCGATGGGTGTTTTTGAGTTTGAGAAGTTTGCTGCTGGCACGGAGGCAATTGCAAAGAAATTGGCAGAGCTTAGCGGGAATGGAGTGACAACAATTATTGGAGGCGGAGACTCAGCGGCAGAAAAAATGAGCCATATCTAGACAGGAGGTGGTGCTCGAGGGGAAATTGCTTCCTGGTCTTCTTGCACTTGATGATGCTTGAAAGCAACAGGCTTCTTAGTCTTTTTTAGCCTTGTTAAATAAATATGATGCCCAAATAACATATACTCCATATTTGTAAAAGGTATAGTAAAGAACACCATATAAATTTACTACTTCATACTAGGGTTGTAAACGAATCAAATAATTTGTGCTCGATTCGCGATTCGAATTCATATAAGACGGTTCGAATTCGGAAAATACAAATACAAATACAAATAAGAATATTAAATTTGATTCGAGTTGTTATCAAATACAAATAAGAATATCAGTGTATTCGATTCGAATATTAATCAAATATATTCGATTCATAACAATGATAATATTAATATCAATATTAATAATAATAGTAATAACACTATAATAACTTTTAAAAGATAGAAATATCCTCAATGTGTAGCCCATATATACATTTTTGCATACAGATTCCAAGCCCGTTTGTAAATAAACCAGAATATAAATACGAATACAAATCATTTTTTGGTTCAAATGTCTTTCGAATACAATACAAATAATTATGTATTCGATTTGAAGAATAAAATCGGAGTTGTTTGACTTTGATATACTAGTATACAATTATCAACTTATTTCACACATTATAAGTATAATTTCTAATACATGTGTGTTAGTGTTTATTTCAAAAAGTTTGAAATAAATTTATATTTATTAATCATAAAATTAATTCATTTTATTGTGCATCATCTAAAAATGCATTGATCCATTAAATTTAAATTCTAAAAACACATACTCCATTAAATCATAACATGCGTGTACAACATATAAAATACGGAATATAAGAAAAGTTATTTTAAAGTGTTATTTGGCTAATTTTTAACCTATGTTCAAATCGATTCGATATTCGTATATGATTCGTTAACTATTCGTATTGTTAAACAAATACAAATACAAATCGAAATTAATATTCATTTCATATTTGAATTCGAATTCGTATTCGAAAAAATTAAACAAATACAAATACAAAATCTCATTATTCGACTCGATTCGGTTCGTATACAACCTTACTTCATACTAAATAAATATGATGCCCAAATAACATATACTCCATATTTGTAAAAGGTATATCAATGGAAGTATGGAACATTGTAATAGATATCGGGACATCCTAGCACACATCAGTGCTGGGTGTATATGATATTATACATGTAACAATCATATTATTATTTCTTGAAAATATAAATATTATGAATAAAATGTCAATATATCATCCATCTCATTGTATAATCTTTTGAGAGTTATATTTATAAAAGCTAACATAGGCTGACAGGGGTATAAAATACATTTATCATGTTTATACATTTATCATATGTATGCACATTGTGTGATTTGAATAGTAATCGAAGTGTGCCCAGATAAGGAAAAGTGAGACTAACTATTTTGATTTGAATTGATCAAACAAAAATAAGAATGAGTAACGAGTAAGCAAAAGATTTTTGTGAATAGGGTTCCCTCCAAGAAATATCAACATCATGATTTTGTTGGGTTTTTCGTCAAAAATTATTGCAAAATAATGCTTTGTGCTCCGAATTCTCAAGGCCCAAGTATATAATCTAGTGAACAAATCTGCGAGATCTTAGGTGTGCAGTTTTTATTGGCCAGCAGGTTTGTGAACAGTTCACTCAAAAACTTCATTTGTTTCTATTGGATAACATGGTCGGTTGCACTGTTCGTAGAAAATATTAGGTTTCTTTGGTGTGGTTAAGATTGATTGTGGGTGAGACTTGGTTCAAGTACAATGCTCCTATTGGTTCAACCGAGTGGGCAGATCTACTTTAGTACGTGGTTCAATATTTGGTGTTTTTGAATGCTTGATTTCTATTGGTTAGGATGGGTGGTGGAATAGTTATCTCATTTATTGTTTCTATGCTCAACAGCCTATTTAATACAATGCGGATGCAAGCACAATCTTCATTCGCAGAGCCAAAAACTAATAGCTTTCTACATAAAGTATTTTTCAGAAAAATGGTTGGAATGTGATAAATGATTAGGGAAATTGATCAATCGAGAACTACGTGGGCCATAAAGGCGAGGGCAACGAGGGTCTATAGGGAACCCGCACATGATGGATTCCCCCGTCTATGGAAGTCATATTCCATGATGAAGAGGTATTGTAAATATCTTGAATTTTATACGAAACAAATGTTTTCCTGTTTTTATTTATCTTGATTTTTTGCAGGGGTCATATTCCATAGGGAGTTTTTTTTTGTAAGAGTAACCTTAGGACTTTTTAAAGAGTAGAATGTTTAAGAATTTTAAGGGCATGAAAAAAATTGTTGGAGAAAATGGTCTGTGCAGCAATCTAAACCCACTCCCCCGGTTTCACTTAAAAAATTCTTGGTTGGAACCCATAGAAGACATTTGTCGTAAAAATGCGTGTAACGGAACAATAGGGGTGGATAAATTTTAAGTTGAGCGGTGCATAGATGAACATACCTTGGGTCGGGCTTGAGCAGGGACATCCTAAGTCTAGCCTAAGTCTAATTATTACAACATTTTTAAAATGAATCACAGAACACACACACACAAAAGACAGCTTTGAGGACGACATTTCGTGTAATCGCCAATGGTCAACCTGCAATACACAACATGTGGTACAACGTTAGGATGTTATAAAAGGTATCTTCAGAGTGCTGTGATTTGGGTGTGTAGATTTGAAGTTGATAATGCTACATTTTTCCATGTTCTATAAATTTTGATGTAATAGATATCATCAAATGTGAAAATCGCAGTATGCTCCAATTTTGGGTTTAATGAAGAATTGTTGAATAAAACATGCATGTGCAGTTCTATTAACAGATTATGTATCTAATTCTCTACCAACACCCACCCACCCCCTGAATTGCTGCCATGTCAAGGGCAGTTCGTTCTACCTGTCAGCTCTAATAACAAATATTACCTCCGTCCCACTAAGATTGAGACGGAAAAAGGTGGCACGATTATTAAGAAAAGTGGGTTTGTGTGGTTGATATTAAATTGATAAAGTAAGAATAAAGTAAGAATGGTTTATAGCCACACAATCTTTACCAAATTTGGTATGAGACAATCTTAGTGGGACTTCCCGAAAAGGTAAAATGGGACAATCTTAGCGGGGCGGAGGGAGTATTTTACAATAACACAATGCAATTAGTAAAGCCATGACACCGTTTTGATAATACGCCAGGCTTAGACAAAATACATATATTAATGGAACTCATGTGCAGTTCTGTTAACCGATTATGTATCTAATTCTCTACCAATAGCCACCCACCCCCCTGAATTGCTGCCATGTCAAGGGCAGTTCGTTCTACCTGGTAGCTCTAATAACAGATATTTTACAATAACACAATGCAATTAGTAAAACCATGGCATCATTTTGATAATACATCAGACTTAGACAAAATACATATATTAATGGAACTCAAGTTAGTACCGCACTGGTCCAAAAATGTCAATCATAATTGTAATACTACGTATTACTTATGCCATTAATATTAACTTTGCAGTTTGATGGAAAACATTGTATTGATTTGATATGTAAGGAATGAGTTTTATTACAAATGCATTGGTATTATTGCTTTACTGAAACCTTAAAAATGGATTGGAAGTAATGAAACATCACAAGATATTGACATATTCGCAATTTTCAACAAGGGTATATGAGGAAGATGACACACACAAAAAAAGGATGTGCATTAAAGAAAACAACTATAATTAAAGGTTTTGCTCGAGTGCAACTTCCTAAAACTCCGTGGTGAAAGCATAAAAACAAAAAAAAACATTTTGACTTCCATTTTTAGGGTAATGGGTTTTACCCTATAGTAAATTTGAATTTTTTGCAATGCCACGCCATTGTCACCCTTGATTGGCTGTAAAAAAATTTATTGTTTGAAGGTGGCCAGATTTTAGGAATATTATGTCAAACATGCTATTCCTGATGAGGCGTGAACTTACCAAATTTCAATTCATGGAAAAAGAATTGATTGACAGTTTGTGAAATTTTAAAGCAGCGGTTAGTGCTTTCAGGTATCAAATATGGTTCCGTTGGTGGATTACACGACAGTGGAGACGGCATAGCAACCGGAGCCTATCATCTGGGATTGGGCAGGTTAGGATATGAGAGCTCATCCGAGGGCGATTTCTGATGTCGATTGAGAAACACTTCACGAGAGTGGTGTTCGAAGACAAAAGAGAGATTGGCGTGCGTACGATAGAACA